AGAGAGAGAGAGAGAGAGAGAGAGAGAGAGAGAGAGAGAGAGAGAGAGAGAGAGAGAGAGAGAGAGAGAGAGGTTCAAGAAACATACTCCAGCAGAGACAGGGCTTCTCTTTTGTTTTTGCGTTTGTTCATATCTGACATCTTGATGCCTTACTGTGGTGGAGCCAGCCAGGACTATTCCCCCAGCTTATTCTTTATGTTCACGAAGTCCAGCACAGAAGGACTTGGGTCCAACAGGTCTTCCACAAGCGCAGGGGGAATAGATGTCCTGTGCTAGTGTGTTCCGAAGTTGACATGGATATCCAGGAGCGGACGGGAGAGGAATTTGGGTGCAGGGAGATGCAAGAGAGAGAGAGAGAGAGAGAGAGAGAGAGAGAGAGAGAGAGAGACAGAGAGAGAGAGAGAGAGAGAGAGATTTGTTCACACGAATTGCAGTGGAGACATTTTTTTTGTTCACGAAGTCCAGCAGATACAGAAGGCTTCTTCTCCGCCTCGTTTCGTGATCGTCATATCGGACATCTTGATGTTTTTTTTTCTTTTTTTCCTGGAATATATTGATGTGAAGGCCAGAAAAATCACGCTTATTCTTTTTGTTCTGTTTATGGTTTCTTTTTGTCCTCTTCCTCTTTGATCTCCCTCCTCCTTTCCCCCCTCCCCAGCATCTTATGGTGGCACATTTCCTCTTTCAGAAGTTTCTCATGTGAAAGTTGTGCATCATCACTGGCAACATCGTGATATTCTTTTTTTTTCCCTTCATGTAAGTCTTCAGGCGGTGATGATGTGGCAGATGGAAATACCTTCACTTTATTTGTGATCTTATTTCTTCTTCCATGTTTGCATTCATTGTCCTCAATGCATGGGGCTTTCTGTTTGTCATGATCCTTGAGGGGGTCGAAAAGGTGCTGGCACACTCGCTCATTTTAATTCTCTTTTTATTTTTTCTTATTTTTATCATTGTGTTTATTTTCTGTATTTGATTTGTAATTCAAATTTGGGAAAGAATTTGAATGTAGTGCCCGGACAAATGTTGTTTAGTTTATTTTTCTCCATAACATATTGTTTTTGCAAAATTTGTTGAAAAAAGTTTTTTTTTTTTTTTTTTTTTTTTTTTTTTCCGCGTTCGGCTCGAACGGCTGAACGCCTTCCGAAGGGGTCCCGTACGTTCGGGCATTTGGGTACGGGCGTTCGGCCCATCCCGAACGCGGGCAACCCTGGTCATAGGAATATATTTTCTTAAAACGCAGGTTCTAAATTGACCTATAAGCACAACGGTGTACCAAATTGTTTTAAAATAAAACCTTGTTCAATTGAAACTGGTTTACAGGGACCAGTCTACCCTTCTCTTTCCTTTCAAGCAGCATCCATCAGCATGCAATACCATTATATAGGTTACGGGTCTTGTACATGTGTCCTCATTGTAAGTCAATGAGCTCAAAATTAGTTGAAGGAATAAAAAATGTGTCTATTATCACGATGAATAACCTTCACATATGTAATCGAAGTTCAATAGTTAAAACAACAAAGAATCCGACAATGGTATGTAGTATATATGCAATTTCATATGATAAATACATAGTCTCTAACCAACAACAAAACAATGATATTGATAAAAAAGCATATTGACAATGACAGGGGAAGAGTTGAAGGAATAAAAAAATTATTTATTATCACGACGAGTAAACCTTCAGATATGTAATTCAGTTCGACAGTTAAAGCAACAAAGAATCCGACGATGGTATATAGTATGTGCGCAATTTCATATGATAAATACTGTCTCTAATCAACAACAAAACAACCATATTGATAAAAGAGCATGTCGATAATGATCGGGGAAGGCGCCTCGAAAGGTATGTTATCTTCCTTTTTAAAAGATAACTATGAAATGCAAAAACAACCCCTAAGTTACTGTATGATACAATAGATTTAAGTTAATTGAAGAAGGGATGTGCCTTCTGCATCAGTGACGTTCAAAGCCTTATCGGTGAGATGGATAATAAAACATTCACCATTGTGTCTCCCTGACTTGGCTCTAAATTATAGGTTTAATCTTAGGTTGAATGTAGATGTATAATATAACTGTTAAATATACTTCTTCCTCATATACATGGAAAACCTAAAAGACAATGAGGAGATGAGAAGCAAGGGAAGAAAACATGTAGAAGTTTATCTACATAAGGAGTGGTACTAAGGACTAGAGTTGGTCGTAATTTGGAAACATTTGTTATTCCTTACGAAATTCAAACTTGTTTCTCATGCCTCCTTGCTCCCTCCAACCGGGCCCTTGAGGCCTGGCAGCAAAACCAAAAAGGATTGTCCCGCAGGACCATCAACCCCTTAGTTTCTTTAAGATAATCCGTCGCTCCTTCGTTCCCGACTGTTGGCCTCGATCCCCATACCTGCCTGATGAAAGTCCAATGCCATAACCCATAGAGCTCTAGCAGGTGCCGGTTTCCACATAAAAGGTTCTAACGTGTGATCGGGCCTACTCAAACACAATAGCGACACATTCGTTGGCCTACCGCTCACATTCACAGCCGCCGAACGCCGGCCCTCATCGCACAAGGAGCTTGGTCCGCTCATGACCGCTGTACGCACCACCCATCACCGCAATATCGCGCCTTTACCATTTCGAAGGCGAAAGCACAAACTTTATCTAAGCTAAACTCCGTTTGCGCATACCTTCGCCGAGGCTGCATAATTTTTTTTCCTGGCAGGCAGACACAATGAAATGCCCTATTGTTTCGCATGCTACACGACTCCAAAGTCCCTTACAAAATAAAAAGCAAAGATAATTATTTCTAAAAATTTGCAGCATCAGTCGTCCAACATCGGTAGTCAAACCTGACGCCAGTCATATCAAGGCTGCCTCCACGCGTGCACACACACCACGAACAAACATGCCAACCAAAAATAAGATCATTTAATCCTAATTTGATAAAAAACAAAGAATTAACCGCCAAATGTGCCGGCACCAAAAAAAATTAAAAATCACCCGTGCGTCTAGAAACTGCGCGCCCACACAGTCTATTTTTCCTCTGGACAGTATTCGTTTTGTTTGGCCTGATTGATCATCATTGGTTGGGCTAGTATCGCTCAACTTCTTTCGAATGAAGGACTTTCGTTGTTTATAAAGATCACTGCTGCCTTTTGAACATGTTACATGGTTAGATTTGTGGGAATGGAATCTTGCTTTCCGCGAGCGGTAGCTTTGATTCATCGTTTTGGCCGGTCTGATACGCCATTATTGGCTGGGCCCTTTTTTGGACTGGTGACAGCAATGTGTAATTCGTGTTTCGGACGACAAATTTTTGCTGTTTAACTGCTGCCTTTTGAAACGAGATACATGGTTTCTACATAATAGGGTTTTGTGTCATGCTTGATTGCTGGTTGTTTTAGTGTTCTTCCATGATACGTGATACTTGTGTTTGGTGCTTACGATGACCGGAAATTAGGATTTGTTCTAAGTGCTTCTACTAGTGGTCCAGCCCTTGGGCTTGACCGGTGATATGTCGCCCTCTGATGGGACCGCATTTTTTTTTGGGAGGAATGTATAAGCAACGTTGGACCCCGTTTGCAGCCCAGCCTTCAATTAAAAACATAAAATAAAACAAATTAGTTTTTTTTCCTGCATAACGAAGTTTTTTTCCAGATCCTTCGGATTTGTTTTTCCCTTTTTTGGGTTGAGACCTTCCCTGGTCCTTGCACGCCCAGGCTGCCCGGGCAAACAAGGTGACCCGACGCCCCAGCTTACCAAGGAATCTCATGAAATTGTCACCAGAGCTCCAAACGCACAATGTCATGTGAAACAAAATGGTTAAAAGATTACTCGTTAAAATATTTTCCAAAAATAATAAAATGTTTTAAGCCCCGAAATAAAGTGAAAACAAAAAGTTAAAAGTGAAAAAAAACGAAATAGTGAGTGGGCGAGCACGTTTTGACACCCCCATCTTTGACGATTTGTAATGTTTTTTTGGCTTAGCAGAATGACTTCAAAATTTATAGGCGTGTAGGTTACATCATAGAGAACTCACAAAAAACATTTCAAAAAAAAAAACGTATTTTTATGCTCCGAATTGTTTTTTGGCGGGGGCCAAACCTGGAGGTGTTCAGCCCCCGAACGGGACCCCGAACGCCCGAACGTTCGAGGGCCAGCCCGGGGGCCCCTGAACGTTCGGTCAGGTAACCTTGATTATTAGTTTTATATATATATATATATATATATATATATATATATTTTAATCTTGTAGGGTAAGTGGTTCCAGACTACAGTGCTAGCCTAGTTTATTACATAATAAAGTTACATTCTCAAATTTAAATTTTCATTCAATCTTTGAAAATGGAAATCCACTTTTATCTTTTTCTGTTTTACTTTAAAACTTTCCTTCCAAGAATGAGGTATCCCTTCTTGTTTAAATTACATGCTAAAGATCGAACGAAAATGTGGATGAGTTCATTAAATATTTTAATTGGATCATCATTCTATTATAAGGCGTTTCATATATAAATAGGTTGATTC